GTAGTCCATTTCCGCTAAATGGCTCTCTGAATGCCAAAAAAGGAGTGAGCAAATGGTCCTTGGTTCGATTCTCCGCGGCGACAAATTTTTTGCATTGTGATTTGACGCAACAAAATTGGCACCAAATACGTCAACACCAGGAATTGATGTCATATTTATAATTAGGCTTGCAAAAAACCCTTAAAGTAAGCGTATACCGAAAACTGGTGGAGAAAGTTGTTGACGCAAGAACGGCACCAACGTGCCGTCGAACAGCGTCATAGGGCCCAAAATGATGTCGGAGCTGAAAATGAATGTCATATTCGTAATCAGGACACCTGATTACCCATGTATTCGAAGTTTTCCAAGAAACCAACTTCGAAAAATTGCTCTGAAGTAATAAGTAAACTCTGTAGCACGTCAGGCTCGACGGCGAACTTCTTGGAAATGACCTCCTCTAGATCCTCATCAAGGAATGAGAAATGTTCCTACCGAACAGAATAGTAGACACCCAAGCTGATGACGGTCGAGGGACACCCGCAATGCAGTAGTTTTTCGGCAACAAAAAAAAAACTATACGAAGTTGCTCTCCACACGGAGCTCGCCCCAAGCGACTGGAAATACTTGAAGAGTTGCTACTTATGTCTGGTGGAAATTTTCGAAGTTAGGTCAAAGATGCGATTTTCCTCGAAACTTCGGCTATAGAGGTAAATCAGTGCGCTGGTTAAGAATATGGCATTGTTTTTGGAGCCGCCGCTATCTGGCGCCATTTCGACGTTACAACTTTGTTTGCCTGCTTTCGGTGAAAACTTACCTCATCGGGGTTATTAACGGTTCTGATCATGAATAATACATCTATTATGGCGTTTATGCAACTTGGAGCCTCGAGATCGAGATCTGGAAGTGCCAACAAGAAACGCAAAAATTGCGCATCTCGAGGATCCGAACCAGCAACCCCGTCCAACCGTGCCAATTGAAGTCCATATCGCTATCCACTACACCACCGACGCATCCGAATGATGAGTAGCCAAATGCACCCATGAAACTTCCACACGCTCTTCACTACATAGCATGTCATCACTACGACAACTTTCCAATTTTGGCCAAACTTCGCGTTGTTTTCGATACAGAGCTTGCGAGAACCCTTCGTTATGCAAGCAGTCCACGCCATAAATGAAACAAACCACGGTGAGTGCGCAAAATTGTCGGACGAAATTTTTTTCACTCCTTTGTTGGCATTCAAAGAGCCTTTTAGCGGAAATGGACTATAGTTCTGTAATGCACGCAAATCCCTCTACATCATGCAAAAACCGTTTTGAGAAAGAGCGGGTTCACTTGAAAGACCTCCCTCGTAAGTAGGAAGGGCGCGAGCTAGTGGAGCCACGGAGCAGGCAAATTCGTGCAATTCGTTCACTGACGGTCTTCTTCGCTTCTTTTTCTCATTTTCAGAGAACTTGACATTCAACAAACTCACTATCAACCGCTGCGACCCCACAGTGGGAGTGCTGCTTCAAATATCGCTGAATCCGAGGTGTCGAAGGTGCTTGTGTGCTGAGCAGACTGTTGAATGACATTTGGTGCGCGGAATTTTCAGTCCAAAGTAGAGCCCCGTTTGCAGTGTGTGCGCGACGTTCATCGCCATAAACGCTTCTGACAAAAAAATTCACATTTGATTCCAGAACAGCCTAAAGGACCAAAACAAAGAGGTGAAAAAGTAGCCACTCAGTTGCCGATGAGTTAGAAATCAGAGGAGTGGGATGACGATGGCGGAGGTATTCGCAGTTGGTATGAAGCCAGCGGAGGTCGCTTACAATAGAGGGAACGTGCTTTCAAGTGGGCAGCGCCCACTTAACCTTCCTGCTCTCTAAATCTTCTCAGGACCAGATTATGAGATCCCGCTCTCTAAAACTTTTCAGAAACAAACTATGAAAAACGCTGCAAAGATTGCCGAAGGAGGAAGTACGAATGGTTTCGGTGAGCGGATCGTGTGACAAAGTAGGCGGAGTTTGCCACGAAGTTCAAGGTACCGTTAAGATAACAAGTTCGGTAACTGCGGAGAGAAAATTAGTGTACGAAGGTCAGCGAAGGAAGGAATTCAAATCAACCGGTAGTGATATGTGCACAAAGTTCGTCCTTGCTCTGACAATCTTAAATTGAGTTTAGAGCTCGGGCGACCGAGGAAAAGGCGAACGCTGTTCAGGTGTAAACCAAATATTTGCAAGAATCGAGGTAACGTAGAAGATTTTCGGCGGCATGATTACATACCGAAGCTGCCTTGGCTGAGTAGAATAGGATAATTCAATAGGAGGTAGGAAGTGGACATTTCGCATATTGAACACCATTTACCTTGTAAGTGCACTCGAGTATTGGATTGAGTCCTACGTATGGCATTACGTACATCGCAGACGAGTAGAAAAAATTCATACATTCGCAAAGAATATAAACGAACCATTGGTATCTGCAATGAGTAGAACAAATAAGTGCGAAATAGGAACGATAACAAAATTAACATCAGCACACAAATCACAACTTCCCTGGATGTGTCACGCATTCGACTTCCGTATGAAGCGCGCAATGACATTTGGAAGCAATAGGTCTACGTAAGAGCTTGAATGTCACACGAAGTTGAAGCGGCGCTCTAACTCACCAAACTCTTAGGTTGGAACAGTTGAAATGTCGTTTTCGATCATCAATTATTATTTTCATTATAAAAACAATAATGAAGCACATCAACCTGAACCATCTCCTTCACCTGTGTCACAGGCTCATCACCTTTCGTTACGCAAAGCATGGATGCCTACCGCGTAGAACTCTTTCTGGTTCGACTCGAAGAAGTTGGGCACTCAAATTTTGACGTCGTCGCGGTTATCGAATTGGTTTGCTGCTAAGGAGTGTTGCGCTGACCTGGGTCAGTGATAGTCGGACGGCGCCAGACCTGGGCTATATGGCGCGAGAGGTAGAGCGTCCCAGCCCAACTCCTCGATTTCTTGTTGCAAGATTTTCGCGACATGTGGTCTTGCATTATCGTGCCATAATTTTTCATTGGCCGAATTTACCCTTTGACGACGCGGAGCTCGGCCCACGTGGTGGAGCTGTACGCAGAGTTCAGCTGTAACTGTATAACCCACAATCAGCATTCCATGGTACACCATGCTTACACCAGTACTGCTTGCTCGAGTCGCTCACAGTAGGCCAAAACCATTATATATCCTGAAAGGGCTTGACAGTCGCACGCAGGATGTTCAAATTTTTCTGTTGACACGACTGAATCTCCACGCAAGTTTTGTGCGGTTTTGTCAAGGTCCCAATTCGTTGGCTTTATTTCGCCGTCATCTAAAGCTAGAGGTCAAAATCCATGATTTTCGTCGCCAGGTCCCTCTACGGTCTTGGAAGAGCTGGAACCGTAGCTGGAAGTGCACAACAAGACCTAAGGTTACTGCTTCAATATTTTGCACACGAAGCGTGGCGATTCTTGGCCGTTTTTTTCGTTGGTTGAATATATTGCTCTCTGACGATGACTTCCGATCAATCATCTTCGAGCAAAAGTTTGCTCGAAGAACATCCGCTCAGTGACGCCTAAGATTTCGCAATATGCGTACTGAATCGCTCTCGAGTGGTCTCCCATACTAAGAGATTGTGTTTAAGCTGATCGCGAGAAACAAAGGCACAAACGGAAGCGACTTTTCAATGTTCCAACCTAGTATATACTGAGCAATTTTTTGAAATTGAGGGCGTGGGACCACGTTGGCGAGTCTGTGATTTCGACCCGCGCAGTATACGAGGTAAGCAGAGCCCGTGTTGTTTCTCCCTCGTGTGATTCAAGACGATCACAACTCAGTCACACCTCGGAACCCCGAAGGGATTTGAGGCAGAAGTGAGATTCGAATCAGCTGGTAAGTCAAAGGCAGCGATTCCGATAACGAGGGAACGCATCGGGGAAGCATATGCACCACACGGTGCAGGTACTTGGCTGCTCAGGAAGCAAGATGTGGCGCTTCCACGACGAACGATGCGCTGCTTGCTGAGCTGAGGACCTCGAAAGCACTCCGCCCCCAGAAGAAGGCAATCCGCCTCGTATAACTTCGGTTTGGACTGAGCACGTTGCCATCAGCGACATAACTAAAGCAACTCGACTGGAGCATGCCATATTGTCATCAAATGTGGTGCGATGAACTCGTTCACACGTCTGCTTTCTGACCTGTTACCTGTTCACGAGTGGAAATCAACGGCCAAGAAAGGGGGTCCCGTTTAGGGTAGTTGTATTGACGGATTTCTCCGCTTTTTTCGCCACTGGCGTACAATTCAGCACCACCGGCCTCCTATAAGCCCCTCTGAATTTCGTCTTAATCACTGCCATTTGAATGGTGATTTCGAGCGTTGTCTAACACCCAACGTTTATGTTAAACATGATTAATGGAAAATCACGTTCTACTGTGAACGCCTCCACCATTAATAATCGAAGAAGTCCCACACAACAAACTCAAATGTACTACTCTGTTGTCATCTGTTTACAGGTGACAACAGAGCAGTACATTTGAGTAATTCGTATGTTTGTTTGTCAATTCGTATGGTTATTTGTAAACAAAACATTCGCGTCTATTATGTGACTGTCAGTGTATAGTAGCTACCAGAAAACGAATCCTTGTAACCCTCGATAGGCTCTAATGAGGAACCCTTGCTACTCTGACATTGTTTCAGAAGTTTCATACGAATAGTGCCCAGCACGGCTTGGTGCGTAACCACCCTATGAATCCGTGCAAAACACCTACTCACTCCAATTGGGAACGCTGTGAAGTGAACGAAAAATATGAGGAACGTCTTCACCAAAGCAGAACCACTTCAGCGAGGACACTCCATATGTAAGATATCTGCTAGATCCTGCTCAAGGAATCAAATGCTGGACGCACCTTCCAAAACCATACGCGTTCATTAATTTGTCCGGATCCAGATTCGCGTAATAGTTCGCGTCATCAGTGTGATCACTTTGTGTACGGGCCAGCTGTAACAAATTATGGAGAAGTTAAGACTAGCTCCCCTACCTCAATTAATTGTGCTCTAGGATTATCTCTTCAAAACAAGCTGGTATAGTGAAAATTTTGAGCCCAACAGTGGGTCTATTTGAGGTGTGGCATTTTGCTACCTAATATAACATATCCGTACGAAACGATTTTCACCGAAAGTTCAGCAGGATGTGAAATGTTTTTGATCATAAAGTTTGTGAGTTCTAATAAGGGTATCCAATAGTGTTTTTGGTTCTCGCGGACTCCAAGGACTTGAGCCTGCTCATTCATCAAGCGAAGGAACTCATCCATTTTAGACTATGTTTATTTTATTATAAAAAATAGCCAACATACAGTACAATGGAGGTGGGAGCTTCAACACCAGCTCTTCTATTTTATACGAATAGCGAGAACTGTTGCAAAGCAGAGACTTAAGGTAAAGGAGTAATAACAGGTATCCAGAAAGTATAAAAAACTGTTTAACAATATCGGTTGTCCAGTTTGAGTCTACCGGTGAATTTCTGCTCGACTCTGCAGATGCTTTGTGTGTAACTTTACAAAAACGAAAGTTCCGCACGGCCTCAACGCAAGCACCGCTACCCAGGGGTGAGATTAATAGTAAAAGGTGTAGTGGGCTCCTGCAAAATACAGTATGTTGGAAACAGCTTATCTCCGTTACTTCTACCTAATGCGGCTACTGCAACGTCAGCTCGTAGACCTACCCACTGTGACGGCGAGATATGGATTCTAACTGTAGATTAGGGTGTCGTTAGACATTGAACGGTGGCGATTATTTGCTATTGTGATCACTTCTGATTTTGCAAATACTTCCCTCATGCGTAGCGTACGATAACTCCGGCAAGTCGTCCCTAAGGGTCTATTCATTGGGGGGATAGAGTGGCACCACCTGTGGCACAGATGTGCCGTTGTCAGCGCCTCGAAGGTGCGCAACAACGGCGCTAAGGTCTTACAAAGCTGGTTTGTGGCCACTAACTTTGGCTCTCGGACGAGTTTACTTGGCTGCGTGCACAATTGCGTGGTGTTTGAGCCATTGCATTAAATTGCGCCGCGGTCGAAGGAATGCTGCTTTTTTTGGATTGGTTTATGTTACAGCTCGAATCGTTCTTTATCGTAATTCATGCTTTTGTTGATGTATGTGATTGCAGTTGCATTTTTTGCCGGCAAGAGCCAGCAAGAAATGAAATCTAGTCAGACAACTCGTCCAAAACGCCCGTCCCTCATCTCAAGGTGGAAGAGTGGAGTCCGTTAAGGGCTTCATTGACGATTTTCTTGATTTTTTTTTCATTTGCGATCAACTCGGCATCCACGGTTCATCATGGGCCGCTTTTTGACCACCAAATTGATCTGGAGGTGTCGCTTTGATGACAGCTTTGAGCACACGACCCACTGCGCACCGGCGTGCTGCACTTGTGAGAGCACTATATCTCGAAGGATAATGCTTCTCACATTTTTCTCATGCTTGACGTGGAACTGCGCGATATATTTAATCCCGAAGCTATTGGTTTGAGTCAACAAACATCAATCGCAGCCTTATTTTTCAAATCCTATTTGGCAGTAAGAAACAAACACCCCTTCTGTGATGTATTGGGTTGACCCATAATTTCTGGCCGATTTTGGTTCAAATTCAATTTTCTTCATGTCAAATTAGCTTCATGATGAATAAGCTAATATGTTGAAGAACACATCAGGACCTTCAGCCAGGATGATTCAGAAGCTTAAGTGCGCCGGCAAAGGGATATTTAAGTTGGAATCAAATACTGATTCAAACAGACCAAATATCAACGATTTTGACGCTCTGCGACAATTTAAAGAAGAGCCTTGCATAGGCAGAGCCGGTTAGCAAGAATCACGTAATGTTGCCCTACTCGCTCTACTGATCGGACACTGAGTATTAGCCTCACAGCACAGCGCGATAGGAGTGCCAAAGTTTGATCTCATTATGACCGCCCCAATGCAACGTATTGATGAAGACCGCTTGCGCTACGAATAGGAAGTGCATCCGACGCTATTAGCAGGAAACTGTAGCAAACATCTGGGCGCAGCCTACGCTCCATGAGTCGACACCTGAATGGAATGGACTGTAGCAGAATGAAGCCTCGATGGAAACAGCATGCATGGACTGACCATGACCGAGAAGCACGCCTGACCATCTGCAGAAGTTTCATTCTGCGACCGTAGACAAGACATTCCCTGGTTGGTCACCAGTGCAGATGAGTCATGAGCCTACGATAACAACACGCGGCTCGCCCGGTGGCTACCTCGCAGCCTGGACGCAGCACATCAACCAAAACCCGAGCTGTTTCATCAGAGGGTGTGACCCCCGTTTTGTTGGATTCGCTGGGTATCCCGTTTTGAGAACCATTTCACTTTATGCAGACAAGCATTGCGAAGGTAAACCACGGAATAGCTCCCAAA